CGGAAGGCTGAGGCGGAAGGATCGCCGGAGGCCAGCAGGTCGAGGCTGCGGTGGCCGGGAGCAGTCACTGCACTCCAGTCTGGGGACAGAGTGAGACTCCAACTCAAAAAAAAAAAAAAAAAGAATTAAACATTGAAAGCTGGGTACTATGCTGCCCAATTGTAATTCTAGCTACTCAGAAGGCTGAGATGGGAGACTAGCTTGAGCCCAGGAATTCAAGGCTACAGTGAGCTATGATTGTATCTGTAAATAGCCACTCACTCCAGAGTGAGACACTGTCATATAAAAAAAATTAAACTGGATGCAGTGGCTCATGCCTGCAATCCCAGCACTTTGGGAGGCAGAGGCAAGAGGATTGCGCGAGTCCACGGGTTTGAGACCAGCCTGGGCCATATGGCAAGACCTCATCTCTACAATAAATAAAAAAATTAGTCAGGCATGGGGTCACGTGCCTGTAGTTCTAGCTATTTGGAAGGCTGAAGCAGAAAGATTGCCTGAGCCCAGCAGGTCAAGGGTTTGGTGCCTGGGGGACGAGTGAGACCCTGAATTAAAAAAAAAAAAATTAGAGCTGGGCTCGGTGGCTCAGCCTGTAATCCTGCGCCTTTGGGAGGCTGAGATAAGTGGATTGCCTGAGCCCATGGGTTCGAGATCTGCTTGGGCAGCAAGACCTCATCTCTACAATAAATCAAAAAATCAGCCGGGCGTGGTAGCGCATGCCTGTAATTCCGGCTACTCGGAAGGTGGAGGCGGAAGGATCGCCGGAGCCCAGCAGGTGGAGGCTGCGGTGGCCAGAGCGGCCACTGCACTCCAGTCTGGGCAACAGAGTGAGACTCCAACTCAAAAAAAAAAAAAAAATTGGGCTGGGTGTGGTGGCTCAAGCCTGTAATCCCAGTACATTGGGAGGCCAAGGCGAAAGGATTGCCTGAGCCCAGGGTTTCAAGACCAGCCTGGGCAACTTGGTGAGACCTCGTTTCCACAACATATAAAAAAAAAATTAGCTGGGCATGGTAGCACATGCCTATATTTCTGGCTACTTGAAAGGTTGAGACGGAAAGATTGCCTGAGCCTAGCAGGTCGACTCTGGTGTGGCCATGAGTTTGCCACTGCACTCCAGCCTGGGTGACAGAGTGAGACTCTGACTCAAAAAAAAAAAAAAAAAATTAAATGTCGAACTACCATATGATCCAGCAATTCCATTTCTGGGCATTTACCCTAAAGAATTGACAGCAGGCAATCTAAGAGGCTTTGTACACCCATGTTCAAAGCAGCGTTATTCACAGCTGGCCAAAAACTGGACAAAACTCAGGTGTCCATCAACAGAAAATGAAAGGATAAAGAAAATATAGCCTGTCCACAATAAAATGATATTATTCAGCCTTAAATAGGAAGGAAGTTTTAACATGCTACAATGTGGATGAACCTGAGGACATTATGCTCAGTGAAATAAGTCAGTCACATAAGACAAATACAGATGCTCCTTGACTTACAATGGGTTCACCTCCCAATAAACCCATTGTAAGTTAAAAATATTGTAAGTCAAAAATATTGTAAGTTGGCTGAACTCGGTGGCTCAGCCTGTAATCCCAGCACTTTGGGAGGCCAAGGCAAGTGGATGGCCTGAGCCCACGGGTTCCAGACCAGCCCAGGCAACTTGGCGAGACCTCGTCTCTACAATAAATCAAAAATTAGCCAGGCTTGGTAGCCCGCGCCTGTAGTTCCAGCTACTTGGAAGGCTGAGGCAGAAGGATCGTCAGAGCCCAACAGGTCAATGCTGGGGTGGCTGTGAGTGTGTCACTGCACTTCAGCCTGGGCAACAGAGTGAGACTCCACTCAAAAAAAAAAAAAATATTGTAAGTCAAAAACACATTTGATTCAGCTAACCCACCTTACACGTCCTGAGAACACTTATGTTAGCCTACAGCTGGGCAAAGCCATCAGAAATAAAGCCCATTTTATAATATAATATAGAGTAGCTCATGTAATTTGCTTAACTTGTACTGAAAGTGAAAAGCAGAATGGTGTGCAGGCACTTGAAGTATGGCTTCCACTGAATGTGAATCGCTTTCGCACCATTCAAGTTGAAAAATCATAAATCCAATCATTGTAAATGACAAACTAACTGTATTGCGTGACTCCACTTAGGTAAGGTCCCGGGCCAGGCGCGGTGGCTCATGCCTATAATCCCAGCACTTGGGAGGCCGAGGCAGGAGGATTGCTTGAGCCCAGGAGTTCAAGACCATTCTGGGCAACATAGCAACAGTTCATCTCTACAAAAAAACAAAAAAATTAGCCAAGTATGGTGGTGCCTATAGTCCCAGCTACCTGGGAGGCTGAAGCGGAAGGACTGCTTGAGCTCATGAATTGGAGGCTGCAGTGAGGTATGATTGCACCACTGTGCTCCAACTTGGGTAACAAAGCGAGACCCCATCTCCAAAAAAAAGTCCCTAGAGTACCCAAATTTAAATTCCTAGAAACAGACAGAATGGTGGGTGCCGGGGCCTGAGGAAGGAATCAGGGAATGAGTGTTTCCTGGGGTCAGAGCCCCAGCTTTACAAGAAGAAACAATTCTGGAGATGACGGTGGTGATGGTTGCACAACTGTGTGGATGTCCTTAGTGTCACTGAACACTTAAACATGGTTAAGGCTGTAAATTTTATGTTGTGTATTTTAACCACCGTCGGTTTTTTTTTTTTTTTTTTTTACATTTTCAAGTATATTTGCATTTCAGGTATAGATATATATAACCCAATGAATTATTTTTGTTTTGTTGTGCTTTTTGAGTCAGAGTGTCACTCTGTCGCCCAGGCTGGAGTGCAGTGGCATGCTCACAGTCACCACAGCCTCGACTTGCTGGGCTCAGGCGATCCTTCTGAATAGCTGGGACCACAAGCATGCACCACCACGCCTGGCTGATTTTTCTGATTTCTTGTAGAGATGACATCTCGTCAAGTTGCCCAGAATGATCTCGAACCCCTGGGTTCAGGCGATCCTCTTGTCTCTACCTCCCAAAGTGCTGGAATGACAGGTGTGAGCTACCACATCTGGCCCACAGTTGTTTTGTAAAAGGAGCAAAAAGAACCTTTCTTTTTCTCTCAACCCAAAACTGAGGGAGTTACTAAGCATGACTCCCACAGCTAAAATTAGCCTGGACTGGAGAGGCGGCCGAAGTTCTCATACATGGCCAAACACCGGGCCAGCCTGCCCTGCCAGTCACCCCTTCCACCACTGGCTTGGATGCCCCCTTCCCAGAATAGACTGGGAAGCTATTTTGGTACAACCTGTTCTCTCTGAAAATGAGACCTCAGAACATTCATGCTCAACTAGCTCCAACACCCTCCAGGGCTAGATAGACCCAGGCAGAAGTGCCCTGGGCACTTCCACAGAGCTGGCTTTTGCTTTGGTTTGGTTGTTCCTTTCTTTTCTTTCTGTTTTTTTGTTTTGTTTTGTTTTTTGTAGAAACGGGGTCTCATTGTTTCCCAGGCCAGTCTTGAACTCCTGGTCTCAACCTTCCCACCTCTGTCTCCCAAAGTGCCAGAGTGACAGGCATGAGCCAGCACACCTGGCCCCTCCATGTTTGCTATGGCAAAGTGTCCAAATTTTCTGTTCAATTTACAATTGGGCGACAGTTTTCTTCCTGAATTTTGAGACCTCTGTATATATTCCACATATAACTGTATTATTGGGTGTGTGTTTGTCATGCTGGACCTCCAAAGACCCCAAAACGGAAGTCACTGTGTCCGAGGGCTCAAAGAAATGACTCTGAGACAGTGGCGGAGACGTGGACTTTGTTCGGGAACTTACTTGCAGGGAAGGTGGTCCAGGAGGGGCTGACTGGACAGACTGGACAGGGAAAACCACTCTAGCTTGTAAAAGGCACATGTTATGCACCTAAGGATTTCCACAGGGTGGGGTGTGAGGTTAAGCGTGAGGAGGGTGGGCATCCCCATACGCAGGTGCAGCTGTGAGAAGGCGCTCATGCATACACCGCATGGATACAAGACGGCTGTGACATTCTCAAGGGGTGGGATTTTAGTTCATTCTCATGAACTAAAGGTAAGCGAAGGTGATGGGTATCGATCGAGGCATGCCCCATCTAATCTGACCCAGCCCTGGGGCCAACTGCTTCCAGGAAGGGTGTGGAGACCATTCAGGGAGCACAGCTGCCAGATGTGTCAGCAGGCCAGAGAACACATCACCCATGGCCCGCAACGTGCCCTGTGTGCCCAGGCCAGAGACTGAGGGGAAGGGGATACCCAGGTGGGCCCCTCCCCAGGCTCCAACGTGCTGCTTGGGGCCACAGGCAGGGTGTGTTCATGCTGTCCCTGAATGGTGATCCATGACGCTTTCTCCCAGTTCTTGGCCTGTGTCTCCTTCTCTCACCAGGGTCTTGCGCAAGACTCCTAGTTGCAGGTTCCAGCTACTTCTCCTCCTCCTCCCTCCTCCCCTCAAAGTGTAGTGACAAGCATCGCTCTCCTTCTCCTCAAGGAGCAGTCTCAGAGAAGGGGGGCCCACTTGGCGTGCTGGTGGCAGAGCGAGGATTCAAACCCAGGCCCGCCTGACCTGAAATCCCACAGCCCTCACCCACTGCCACCACCTCCCCTGGTGATCAGGGGCTGCCATGAGCATCACTCTCTTGGGAACCCTGAGCATCTCTGAGGACACAGACCCTCATGGTGTCCCCACATCTCGAGGCTAATAGCCTAAGAGGGACTCCAACAAGGCAGGAAGGTTGGTTCACAACAGATTTATTGGCGGACCCTTCCTGCCGAGCTGTGACGGACATGCAAGGGGAGACTGGGCCTTCCCGCTCGGAACTACCCAGCCCCCAGGCATCACAGGAACAAGGCACTTTCCCAACAGCTGGGCCACACCTGGGCCTAAACCTCACCCGAGACTGGCCATACCCCCCCCAGGGCTGGCATGAGGGAGGCCAGAAGGGACCCTTTGGCTAGCATCCCTGTTGCTCATCCTGCAGCCAGCTCCTGGCCTGCCAGCAACGGCACAAGGCTCAGGACAGAGCAGGCAGGCGTCCAGACGTCTGTTGAATGACTGAATGAGAAAAATGAACTCAAGGGAGACCTGGTACTTCCTTCCAGGTTCCAACTGCGAGTGTTCAGAGCCCCTTGACAGAGCTGGATCTTGGAATCCTGCCCAAGTGGCTGCATTTCTTTGGTTTAGGGACAGCCTGTAACCAATGGTTCAGAACAGGCCTTCTGTACCCTTTAACTGCTCAAGCTTGCCTTAGACACATCTACTGAGGGCTTCCTTTATGCTGGGGAACTTGTAGGATTCGCTAACCCACAAACACACGTGATCTAAAATGCAAAGTCATTTTTTTTCTTTTTCCTTAGCAATGGGGTGTCACCACGTTGGCCAAGCTAGTTCTGAACTCCTGGCCTCAAGTGATCCTCCCACCTCAGCCTCCCCAAGTGCTGGGATTCCAGGTGTGAGCCACTGTGCATGGCGAAGCCATTCTCAGTCATAGTCTATGATGGTGCTGGCCTCCGTTCCTGATGGCCCACTGCTCATGAGCATGGAGGGCCTGTTGGTGCCAGCCTCACGTCAGCCCTTCCATCGGACAAGGGACAAGGGTCTCCACTATGCAGACAGGGAACGCAAAGCTCAGAGGAGGGAGGAAACTCGCGCAGGGATGCCCAGCAAGAGTCGGAACGTCCTGGGCCCGGGGGAAGGTCTAGCCACTGAGGATCCTGGGCAAGAAGGGCTGTGAGGCACAGCACGTGGGCCCAGGGCGGGCACCTGGGAGCTGTCCCTCAGACAAAGGCATCTCCACATGGCTTCAAACACCTCAGCAGTCAGGACGTCACTTTAGAGGGGGAAAAATGGGATCAAGAATATAACCGCCTGCCATGGTTTCTGCTGGGGCTGCTGCCGAAGCCCACCCAAAGCCATGGCTCTGTGGGCGTCCCGGCAAAGAGAGTGACCCTTCCCCATTCCTACAAAAGGCCTTCACCTCAGGTCTCATCGAACCCCCTCGTCAGCCCTGGAGGGTGGGCTGGTGGCCCCGGTGTGCAGGAGGGAGGTCAAGGCCTGGAGAGGGTGATGTGCGAATCCAGGGGCACCTCCCAGCTCAGAGGGTCTTGGGTCTGGGTCCTCCCTGGTGCCCCTCGGGCTGCCCGCTAATCTGCCTTCTTGGTCTTCTTCCTCCTGGAGCCCTCGCTCAGCTCCTCCTTGGACTTGGCGGCCATGGACGAATGCTGGCCACCGGGCCCACCACCGCCATGGGATGCTCCGTGGTTGTCATGGTGATGGTCGCCTCCCCAGGCCATCCCAAACAGCACAGGGCAGATGTAGCCCTCCAGGACATCAAATGGGGAGCTGTGGGAGTGAGTGGCTGTCAGGAACACCTGAGGGGGGACAGCAAGAGAGCCAGAGGGAAACCAAGGCAGAGAGCAAAGCAGGAGGAGGTGGGAGGGAGAGAAGCGGGGAGAGAAAACCAGTGAGGTCAGAGTTGAAGGTAGCCCAAGATGACGGCCAGTCATGACAGGACTCCTGGGACACGGGACTTCTGGTGCCGACAGACGGTGCAGGCATGCTAGCACAGCTGGTCACCCACCTCCCATGAATGCCAACATCTGGGTTCAGGAAGGCACAGTGATGGGTGCTGTGGGCTGAACGTTCGTGTTCCCCAAATTCATGTTGAAACCTAACCCCAAGATGGTACTGGGGCTGAGGCCTTTGGGGTGATGAGGTCACAAGGGTGGCGCCCTCTAATGGAACTAGTGCCCTTATGAAAGAGGCCTGAGACAGCTAGTTGGTCCCTTCTACCATGCGAGGACACAGTAAGATGCCAGCCACCTGCAACTGGGAAGAGGGCTCTCACCAGACTCTGACCAGGCTGGTACCCTGACCTTGAACTTCCCAGCCTCCAGAACCACGAGAAAGACCATTCTGCTGTTCCCAAGCTGCCCAGTCAATGATACTCTGTTACAGCAGCCTGAATGGTAAGATGTTTGGCTTGGGGTCACACTGCAAACATGTGGCGCAGACCCCAACATTTGGTACTCCTCAACCTTTTTCCCGAAAGCAGAGACTCACACCCATTTTCCCTATTCTTTTTTTGGGAGATAAGGTCTTGTCACCCAGGCTGGAGAGCAGTGGCACAATCACAGCTAAAAAAAAATCCTATTTCAGTCTCCCAAGTAGTTGGGATTACAGATTCGCATCCCACCTGGCTTATTTTTTTAAATTATTTCTGGCTGGGCTCAGTGGCTCAGCCTGTAATCCCAGCACTTTAGGAGGCTGAGGTGAGTGGATTGCCCGAGACCGCGGATTCGAGACCAGCCCTGGCAACTTGGCAAGACTTCGTCTCTACAATAAATAAAAAAAATTAGCCAGGCATGGTGATGCGTGCCTGTAGTTCCAGCTACTTGGAAGGCTGAGGAAGAAGGATTGCCTGAGTCCAGCAGGTTGAGACTGTGGTGGCCATGAGCCACTGCATTCCAGCCTGGGCAATGGAGTGAGACTCCAACTCAAAAAAATAAATAAAATAAATGAAATAAAATAAAATAATTTCTTGTAGAGATGGGGTCTTGCTGTGTTGCCCAGGCTGGTCTTGAACTCCTGGCCTCAAGTGATCCTTCTGCCTCAGCCTCCAAAAGTGCTGGGATAAGATGTGTGAACCACCATATCTGGCCTCACACTTCCTTTTGACGGCCCTGAGCTGGGGCCTCCATGCTGAGGGGAGGAATAGGAGGGAGAGCACTGTGGCCCCTGGAGACCCCTCTTGGGTCGGATAATCCGGATTCAAGGCACAACTATCAGAGAACCAGCTGAGTCCCCAGGTGCCTTCCCGGCTTCCTGCCCCTTCGGTCTCCATACCCAAGGCCCAAGACCAACCTCAATCTTTGCTCAGGCCTAGCCCTGCATACAGAAGGTATTACCCTCACCCCTGTTCCTGCCTGCAAGACACTGCTTTTTGTTCTTTTGTTTGTTTGTTTGTTTGTTTTTGAGTTGGAGTCTCACTCTGTCACCCAGACTGGAGTGCAGCAGCCGCTCCCGGCCACCTCAGCTTCGACCCTGCTGGGCTCCGGCGATCCTTCCGCCTCAGCCTTCTGAGTAGCCGGAACTACAGGGACACTGCTTTTTGAAAGCCCTCCTCCCACGGGCCTACTGGCAAGCTTTCCCCCTCTCTAGGCTGTCCTGCCCCAGCCATACAAGGCTGGGAGTGTCCAATGTCCCCGCTGCCAGCCTGGCGGTGTGGGTTGGCACCTATCGAGCCGAGAAGGCCACAGGCAGAGAAAGGCTTACCTTACAGGACACCATGAACATGGTGAAGATGAAGATGAGGCTGGCTTTGGACACTGGGAGCCAGCGGGTCTGCTGGAGGGTGAAGAGGACAGCTCCGTACAGGCTGGCCTTGGTGGGGCTGGAGGGAGCAGTGTGGTTACCGGGAGGGGCCCGCACCACTCGGGTATTTGTACATCTGCCCCAGTCATAATCCCCTTTGGGCTTCCCCAGCCATAGTCTCTGGAAGCTTCTAGAAGGCAGTTGAGGGCTGAGGACTCCCCGAGTCATCAACAGCAGGATCTGACCCAGGGTCAGGCACACGCGGGTGGGTACAGGAGGGACGGGGGAGTATGATACTCACAAGGACATGTGCAAGATCTCATTGGTCTCCGGCTTCCAGACCCCTCGGAGTAGTTGCTCGAAGTTGGACATGAGGGCGACGCCAGAGCCTGTGGGACAGGGAGCTTCTGGGCACACTGCCACCCTAGTCTCCCTTTCCTCTCAGCTGCATTCCCAGGGGAGCAGCCTCTGTGCTCCCAGAGTCTTCTCTAGAGGGACGCTGAGGCTGGGGTATGTGACTGTCAGCTGCAGGTGGGGAAACTGGGCCTCAGGGAGGACAGAGACTTCTGAGGGTCACAAGGCACATTTGGTAAAACCCACATGAGGACACCAGTCATGTCCCCGCCAGCAGGCAGGTCTTCAACCTAGGGGTGTCTGCACTGGGTCCTCAGTCCAGGACCCTGAGCGGTGCAGGAGGCACAGAGCACCCCACCTCCAGTCCCACTCCTCCTCAAGGCTCTGAGTTCTCCATCTTTCCTGAGCCACCGCCCTCTGGGAGACAAGCTGTACTCCGGGAAATGTGCTCTGTAGAACAGGCTTCCTGGGGGGCAGTGAGGAGGCCTACATGGAGACTTCATGGTTAAGATTCTGGAAGAAGCCAGGCACGGTGGCTCAGGCCTGTCATCCCAGCACTTTGAGAGGCCGAGGCAAGAGGACTGCCTGAGCCCATGGGTTCGAGACCAGCCTGGGTAACTTGGCAAGACCTCATCTCTACAATAAACCAAAAATTTAGTCAGGCGTGGTAGCTTGTGCCTGTGGCTCTAGCTACTTGGAAGGCTGAGGTGGAAGGAGGGCCTGAGCCCAGCAGGTCGAGGCTGTGATGACTGTGAATGTGCCACTGCACTCCAGCCTAGGCAACAGAGTGAGACTCCAACTCAAAAAAAAAAAAAATTTTCTGGAAGAATCTTCCCATTTACCCCAAATATACAGGCTCAAGGGGCTTAGACACCCACTCCAGGAACAGCTGTGCCAATGAGGTTGTCTGACGTGCACCACTGGACCATGGGATCTCACCTGGAGCAATGGTTCCCCCAAGAAGGCACCTGGCAATGCCTAGAGACACTCTTTGGGGGATGTTGCTATATCTGGTGTATGGAGGCCAAGGATGCAGCTCAGCACCCTGGAGTGCTCACAAGAGTTCCCCAACTAGGAACAAGCCAACCCCACGCATCCACGGTACTGAGGGTACTGTGGCTCTGTGGAGGGTAAGTCAAGGCCCTGATACTTTGCAGAGACTCACATATGGTGCACAGGACGCAGGACTGAGATGCCCAGTAGTTTTTAGCACTTGCTCAGGCCTTCTTTCCCTGCCTGTTACTCATTGGTCCGCTTCATTTCTTCCTTCCTTCCTTCTTTCCTTCCTTCCTTCCTTCTCTTTTTGAGACAGGGTCTTGCTCTGTCACCCAGGCTGAAGTGCAGCGGCATGATCACAAGTCACCACAGCCTCTACCTCAAGTAATCCACCCCACCTAAGCTTCCCAAGTAGTTGGAACTACAGGCAGGCACCACCACACCAGGCTTTTTAAAAATTTTTGTAGAGATGGGGTCTCACTATGTTCCCCAGGCTGGTCTCAAACTTCTGGGCTCAAGCAATCCTTGAGCCCTGGCCTCCTAGAGTGGTGGCATGAGATACCACGCCCAGCCACACCACTTCAATTATTACTGTTGAATTGTTTCTTTCCCCCTTAACATTTGCTAGTTTTTGCTTTATGTATTTTGGTGCTCTGTTTTTAGATGCGTATATGCTTACAATTGTTATATCTTCCTGGTGGATTGACCCTTTAATCATTATAAAATGTCTTTCTAGCCAGGCTCAGTGGCTCAGCCTGTAATCCCGCACCTTTGGGAGGCTGAGGTGAGTGGATTGCCTGAGCCCGCGGGTTCCAGACCCGCTTGGGCAGCAAGACCTCATCTCTACAATAAATCAAAAAATCAGACGGGCGTGGTAGTGCATGCCTGTAATTCCGGCTACTTGAAAGGCTGAGGCTGAAGGATCGCCCGGAGCCCAGCAGGTCGAGGCTGCGGTGGCTGGGAGCGGCCACTGCACTCTAGTCTGGGTGACAGAGTGAGACTCCAACTCAAAAAAAAAAACCAAAACAAACAAACAAACAAAACTCCTGGTCTCAAGTGATCCTCCAGCCTCAGCCTCCCGAGTAGCTGGGACTACAGGTACCACCATGCCTGGCTCTATTCATGCACTTGAAAGCATAAAAGGATCTGGGTGCAGTGGCTCATGCCTGTAATCCCAGCACTTTTGAAGACTGAGGGGTAGGATTGCTTGAAGCTACAAGTTCAACACTAGCCTGGGCAACAAAGTGAGACTCTGCCTATACAAAAAAGATGAAAGTAGCCGGGCTCGGTGGCTCAGCTTGTAATCCCGCGCCTTTGGGAGGCTGAGGTGAGTGGATTGCCTGAGCCTGTGGGTTCGAGACCCGCCTGGGCAGTGAGACATCATCTCTACAATAAATCAAAAAATCAGCGTGCGCCTGTAATTCCGGCTACTTGGAAGGCTGAGGTGGAAGGATCGCCGGAGCCCAGCAGGTCGAGGCTGCGGTGGCCGGGAGCGGCCACTGCACTCCAGTCTGGGCGACAGAGTGAGACTCCAACGCAAAAAAAAAAAAAGGAAAGCAAACAAAAAACCATACACAGGTCTGTAGGCTTCACTGGGCTGACAACAGGTCCATGGTTCACAAAGGTAAGAACCCCCACAGTTAGAGCACTAAGAAGCATGCTCACTGGATCAATGCTTCTCTCCAGGAGGAATTAGGCGATGTCTGGAGGCATCTTTGGTAGTCATAGCTGGGACAAGAGTGATACTATTATCTAGTGGATTGTGGCCAGGGTTAGTGGTCAACATCCTACAAGGCACAGGGTACCCACCACAAGGAACAGTCCAAATGTCAACAGTGAGAAGCCCTACTCCAGTGGCACTGACTTTTTTTTTTTTTTTTTAAACAGGCAGGGTCTGACTGGCTCTGCTGCCCAGGCTAGAATGCAGTGCTACAATCAAAGTTGACTGCAGCCTTGACCTCCTGGGCACAGGTGATCCTCCTGCCTCAGCCTCCCAAGTAGCTGGAACTACAGGTGCCACTATGCCCTCCTAATTTGTCTATTTTTGTGGAGATGGGATCTATATTGCCTTGCTAGTCTTTTATTTTTTGAGTCAGAGTCTCTCTGTCACTCAGGCTGGAGTGCAATGGTGTGCTCATGGCCACCATAGCCTCGACCTGCTGGGCTCAGGTAACCCTTCTGTCTCAGCCTTCCAAGTAGCTGCAACTACAGGTGCATACCACCATACCCAGCTAATTTTTTGATTTACTGTAGAGACAGGGTCTTGCTGAGTTGCCCAGGCTGGTCTCCAAACCCTGGGCTCAGGCAATTCTCTCACTTCCGCCTCCCAAAGTGCTGGGATTATAGGCGTGAGCCACCGTGCCTGGCTGCCCAGCTAGCCTTAAACTTCTAGCCTCAAGCAGTCCTCCTGCCTTGGCCTTCCAAAGGGCTGGGATTACAGGCATGAGTCACTGTGCCTGGCTGACATTGGCTTTTGCTGTTGTCATCACTGTCCCAGTTATCTTTGACAGTGCCTTTCCCAAAGCCCCTTCCCCTATGCCCTCAAGGCGTCTGACAGGGAGGTGTGGACACTCACTCTGTCTTCACCCCCAGCCTGGAGCAGGTCGGTGGGCGCCCTTGCTGTCGCGGTCCCACTCACCTTTCACCCAGCCGGTGGCGATCATAACAAACCACCCATGGTGGTAGTGGTGGTGCGCATGGTGGATGCCCACAGCAATTTTGCGGACCCTTACCACCTCCTTCATGGCCACAAAGATGAGCTTCACAGGCAGGAAGCAGACACATTTGTAGAACAGGTCCAAGGGGCAGAAGAAAATCAGGTACCTGTGGGGAGGGAAGATGCAGTGGGGGAGGGCAACCCTGAGGGTGGGTGGGCCGCGAGGGTGGGGTGAGGTCCAGGTGGGAGGAGGCAGGGCAGACTGAGGGCGGGGCTGGAGAGGCTGGGCTGGCTGTGTCAGACCCCCATCCCAACATGCCCGGCCAGGACCAGAGCCGGGCTGAAGGGTGGGCACCCAGGCCCCTGGAAGGTGCCGCGGTGCTCCTGCCCCTGACCCTTGGCTTACCAGACGGCAGAGGCCAGCAGGATGCTGGAGCTGTTGCTGAAGTAGTCGATGAGTGGCTCCCCCAGGAGCAGGTCCGCCAGGATGTAGCTCCCAAAGCAGTGCAGCATGGCGCACAGCCAGGATGCCAGCGGGTGGCGCCGCGACAGCTCCACGGCTCCTGGGGGCCGAGCAACCCTGCGTCATGGGTGCAGGGCGGCCTCACCCCTATGCCTGCCACGGCCTATACGCGTTCTGACCCACCACGTGCCGGGCAAATAGCAGAGAACCACCAGGGCTCAGAGAGGCTGTGTAAGGGCTAAGGCTGCACAGTGGAAAGACAGGGCTAAGTCGGACTCTTTGCTCCTCACCCAAAAATGGCGACAATAAGGACACAATCTCATGCCAGGGACTAGCTACGTCCTCATCTGTAGCATGGCTGAGTGATGACTTTTACTTTTGTTACCGTTGGAGTCTTGTTGTCGTGAGGAGACTGATCTTGGAGAGACGGGTTCACTTGCAGCTAGAAGCCCGGAAGCTGCTACTCCCATGGGGCTGACACCCAAGGCCCCCGAGAGCTTATGCTGGTGTTCTTATGCCCTCCCTCTGATGCATTCATTCATTCATTTAGAGATGGGGTCTTGCTTTGTTGGCCAGGCTGGACTCAAACTCCTGGGCTCAGGCGATTCTTGTCTTAGTCACTTGAGTAGCTAGGACTACAGGCATGCGCTACCACACCTGGCTGGTTTCTCATATTTTTTTGTAGAGACAGGGTCTCCCTACGTTGTCTGTGCTGGTCTCAAATTTCTGGCCTCAGGTGATCCTTCTGCCTCAGCCTCTGGAATAGCTGGAATCACAGACAGGAGCCACCGAGCCTGGCCCATTTTACACATATTTAAGCATAGAGTTCTATGGTATTAAATACATTAACATTGCTGTGCAACCATCACATCCAGAACGGTCGCGTCTTCCCAAACTGAAACTCTGTCCCCGTTAGACACTCACTTCTCATCTCTCTCCCCAGCCCCCCAGCACCCACCATACTACTTTGTGTCTCTACGAAACTGACTACTTTAGGGACTTCACACAAGTGGAATCACACAGTATTTGTCCTTTTCTGACCTATTTCCCCATTGTAACATGTGTTAAGATTTCATTTCTTTTTCAGGCTGAATCCTATTTCAATGGGTACCCACTTGGAATATCCATTCACCCATCAGTGGCCACTTGGGTTCCTTCCACCTCTTGGTTATTGTGAATAATCCTGCTGGGAGCCTGGGTGTGCACATAACTGTTCCACTCTCTGCTTTCAATTCCGTGGGGTATATACTCAGAAGAATTGTGGCCAGGCACCACGGGGACTCCTGTCTGTAATCCCAGCACTTTGGGAGGCCAAAGTGAGAGGACTGCTTGAGTCCAGGAGTTCAAGACCAGCCTAGCCAACATAGTGAGACCTTGTCTCAACCAAAAAAAAAGTAAAATTGCTAAATCCTAAGCTAATTCTGTGTTTAATTTTTTGAGGACTCACCATAATGCTTCTTGCAGTGGCTGTACCATTTTACATTCCTACCCACAGTGCACAGGGCTCTAATTTCTCCACATCTTTGTTAACACTTGTCTGTTCTCTGTTTTATAGTAAAAGTCATCCTAGTGGATAGGGAGTGGCCTCCTACTGTGGTTCAATGATCAGTGACGGTGAACCTCTTTTCATGTGCTTTTTGACACTTGTCTATCTTCTTTGGAGAGATGTCTATTCAAGCCTACAAATACGTATAGTTCTTCTGTATTTATTTATTTTTTTATTTTATTTTATTTTTTTGAGTTGGAGTCTCACTTTATCGCCCAGACTGGAGTGTAGTGGCACGCTCCCAGTCACTGCAGCCTCGATCTGCTGGGCTCCAGCGATCCTTCCACCTCAGCCTTCCAAGTCGCCGGAACTATAGGCACGCGCTACCATGCCCAGATAATTTTTTATTTATTGTAGAGACGATGTCTTACCAAGTTGCCTGGGTGGGTCTCGAACCCGTGGGCTCAGGTAATTCACTCACCTGGGCCTCCCAAAGAGCTGGGATTGCAGGCTGAGCCACCGAGCCTGGCCTTGTATTTATTTTTTAGAAACAGATCTCCCTCTGTCACCCAGACTGGAGTGCAGTGGTGCAATCATAGCTCACTGCAGCCTTAAACTCCAGGGCTCAAGCAATCCTCCCATCTCAGCCTCCTGAGTAGCTTAGACTACAGGTGTGAGCCATTGCACCCAGCTAATTCCTATCCACAGCTAAAAGGATGAGCTCCCAAGGGCAGTGGTTACAAACTGTATTCCTGGGAATGCTGAGATTTTGTAGGGGCAAAGGAGAGACCACGTGGGAATGTTCTGGGTCCTCTGTCCTGTGTCAACCAGAGCACACTTGTACTTACTGCTTCATCTCAGAGTGTGACACAAGACTTTGAAAAAAAGGGGGATGGTGCTCACATAGCAGCTTTTTTTTTTTTTCCAGAGTCACAGTCTCATTCTGTTGCCCAGGCTGGAGTGCAGTGGCATGCTCAACCTGCTGAGCTCAGGCAATCCTTCCGCCTCAGCCTTTCAAGTAGCTGAAACAACAGGTGTGAGCCACTACACCCCAGCTAATTTTTTTTTTTTTTTTGAGTTGGAGTCTCACTCTGTCGCCCAGACTGGAGTGCAGCGGCTGCTCTCGGCCACCGCAGCCTCGACCTGTTGGGCTCTGGCAATCCATCCGCCTCAGCCTTCCAAGTAGCCGGAATTACAGGCATGCGCTACCACGCCCAGCTGATTTTTTGATTTATTGTAAAGATGAGGTCTCGCTGCCCAGGCGGGTCTGGAACCCGCAGGCTCAGGCAATCCACTCACCTCAGCCTCCCAAAGGCGTGGGATTACAGGCTGAGCCACCGAGCCCGGCTCACTCCAGCTAATTTTTAAATTTATTGTAGAGACAAGGTCTCACCATGTTGCCCAGGCTGGTCTCAAACCCGTGGGCTCACACAAACCTCTTGCCTCCACCTCTCAAAGTGCTGGGATTACAGGTGTGAGCCACCAAGCTCAGCTCACATAGCAGCTTTTATTGTAAACAAATACCCTTCAGCAGGTGAAGGAATACACAAACTGTGGTCTACCATACCCCAGAATACCCAGCAATGAACAAGGAAAGAACTAGTGATATATGCAACAATCTAGATGGATCGCAAGGTTTTTTTGTTTTGTTTTTAGAAATGAGACCTATGTTGCCCATGCTGGTCTCAAACTCCAGGCCTTAAGTGGTCCTCCGAACCCTGGCCTCCCAAAATGCTGAGATTATAGGTGTGAGCCACCAGTCTCAGCCTTGAGAGCTTTAAGCTGAGTGAAATTCACCAATCTCAGGAATTTACATGCAGTATGATATAATAACATTCTTCAAGGGACAAAATCACAATGACAAGTGACAGAGGACAGACTGGTGGTCACCAGGAGTTAGGTTTGGGATGAGGGTCTAACTATAAAGGGGCAGCATGAGGAGGTTTCTTTTGGGGTAGTGGAAACATCTGTATCCTTATTGTCATATGGTTACCTGAAGTTACACATAATAAAATTTCACAAAACTCTATACAAAAAAAGTATATATAAACACTGCTGAATGCAATCTGTAGTTGAGCTAATGGTTTTGTACCAATGCCAATTTCCTGGTTTTGTTTATTGCTTTTTTTTTAAGTCAGGGTCTGGCTCTGTAGTACAATGGTATGACCATAGCTCACTGCAGCCTCAACCTTCTGGGCTCCACTTGAGCCTCCTGTCTCAGCCTCCTGAGTAGCTGTGACTACAGTATGCATCTCCATGCATAGCTGATTTTTTTCATTTTTATAGAGACTGGGCCTTGCTCTGTGGCCCAGGCTAGTCTCCAACTCCTGGGTCCAGGTGAGCCTCCTGCCTTGGCTTCCCAAAGAGCTGGGATTACACTCATGAGCCACCATGCCTGGACACAATTTCCTGGTTTTCATAATGAGCTATTGTTATGTAAGATGTCACTGGAGGAAGCTAGGTGAAGGGTACTTGCAAACTCTCTGTACCATTATTACAACTTCTTATGAACTATAAACTCAAGATAAAAAATATTTTAAAATACCATATTAAAAAGAAAGGTGGGCCAGGTATGGTGGCTCATGCCTCTAATCCTAGCACTTTGGGAGACAGAGGCCAGAGGATTACCAGATCCCAGGGGTTCGAGACCAGCCTGGGCAACTTGGCGAGACCTCATCTCTACGATAAATCAAAAAAATTAGCTGGGTGTGGTGGCATGTGCCTGTAGTTCCAGCTACTTGGAAGGCTGAGGTGGAAGGATCGCCGGAGCCCGGCAGGTGGAGGCTGCGGTGGCAGTGAGCATCCCCCTGCACTCCATCCTTGGTGGCTGAGTGAGACTCTGACAAATAAAAGAAAGAGAAATAGTCAGTTCAGGCTTTTTTTCTCTTTTTTTAGAGGAGACATATCATCTTCTTTCTAGAGATAGGATACCTTTTATCTCTAAATCTACATAAGCCATTTACATAAATGCCTGTTGTTAGGACTGATGTGCCCTCCAAAAGACATACGTTGAAATGCTATCTGTCTGCATGTGGTCATGTGGGACGCCAGGGCCTCTGAGAGGCAATTAGGTCATGAGAGTGGAGCCCTCACGAATGGCACTGGTGCCTTTGTATGTTCTCTTCTCTCCACTTCTGAGGGCACGGGAGACATCAGCTGACTGCCAACACAAAGAGTACCCTCACCAGAGCCCTACCATGCTGGCTGGTTCCCTGATCTCAGACTGCCAGAACTGTGAGAAATACATTTCTGTTATTTATAAGCCACCGGGTCCATGGCATTTTGTCATAGCAAACAGAACAGACTAAGACCCCTACATACGCTATGGATACATTCAACAAGGAGATTTAATCTTCATCCTTCCATGAGTACAGGGACCACGGAGGCCTGACCTGCTGCTACATCCCCAGTGCATGGCACTGTGCCTTACACTTAGTAGCTGTTCAACAAATAGTTGTGATCCCAGTCTGGGCAACACAGCGAGACCCTGTCTCTGAAAAAGAAAACAAAACAAAAATACCAACCAGGCGTGGTCGTGCACGCCTATCACCCCAGCTACGCAGGAGGCTGAGGTGGGAGGATCACTTGAGCCCAGGAGTTCAACACCAGCCTGT